GGTCTTGGCACCTTGATCGTGAATCGAACACCGTTGCAAGTTTTGAGCTTGTAACAAAGTCTTGAAGGAATTGGTACAAGTGCTTGTTGATTCTTGAAGGGAATGCTTCAGCTTTGGTTGAAAGAAAGCTTTGGCTTTGGCTGTACGTTCTTTGAAGAGAGCTTTAGCAACTTATTAGTCTTCAAAGATTTGGCAGAGGTTCTTCTCAATGTGAGAATTTTGGCCTTTCAATGTAGAAATTGTCGACCTTGAATGTAGAAATTGTCGACCTTTATGCTTGTCTAAGAACCTTGTATTTATAGACTTTTCAAACCTTGCCTTTGGATGGATTTGGCTTTGATTTGTGTCTTGATTTGTCCATGGGAGAATTTAGCCATGTTTTGTGTCTTAATTTCAGCCACTTTCTCTTGCTTGGCCGAAATCTAGGGCTTGCTTGCCTATTTTGTGAGCAATCTTCAATTCTTGCTTATTTTGTGAAGATGCTTTAGCTTTCTTTTCGGTTTTGGGAGCAATTTGGGCCCTTGCTGATTTTTAAGGATTTCTTCCCCCTTTTGCCGGGTTTTGGGGAAGTTTTATTCTTCATTTTCTTGATTTGTGCCATATGTCATTGATGACTTATCGATTTGTGATGAGTCATATGCCATGTGGAGCTTTGTTATGCATCATTTGTATGCAACAAAATGTACATGTCTACAATATCACTTTGCTAAGAAGGTTGTCTTACAATACCAAATTCATATTCATAGTTAGCAAATAGTCCACATATGTAAAGAAGCACCCCATTTTACCAAGTTTTTCAAATGATTTAAACATCATTTGGCAAGAACAAATGTCATGAAATTACATATGTCAGATATCGAAACTGCATGTTACCATGCACTCTCACCTACTTGAGTTAGAAATGAGGTTAAGGAGTTTATATTCACTGCAAGGGATTGTGATACCACCCACTGGATAATCATATCCAAATTCTTCTTCGGCCCGACTTAGCAAGTATTGGAATGAAGAGTGGTTCAAGTATCAGATTAGAATCACAAAAAATTGGTGCAATGTTGGTTTTATATCCGTACTGCAAAATTGGCACTCCTTTATGCTTGTTTCTTCTTATAAGTTATAATTGCTAGGTATATATCCTATCTGACATTGATTAGTTTGTGTATAGTAGATGCAGTTTTAATTTTTGTTTTTGCCAAACTTGAACTGGGTTTAGCATTAGGGTTTTTAAAATTCATTTTAAATTTAAGTAGAAATTATTATGCATGTGTACGCTAATTTTTATCTTTGTAATCTAACAAATTTATTTCCAATTTTGTAGAGATCACAGCTCATTAGAACCTAAAAGGCGGTGACTTCTACACCTCGTCCGATGACTACACGTACTACTGTCGCCACTACTCTGGCAGAGATGGACCATAGGCTAGTCAATCCGATTAACCAAGTTGGTCCTCTAGTCCCACAAGCGCCGACATCTTTAACTTCTTCGGTGCCTGACATGCTCATCAACGTCCTCGTACTACAGAGCAGATGTCGCCATCGGGATCCACAACTGATGCCCCGGCTCAACAGTTAGGTATACCATCTTAATTTACTCCCTCATTCCCATGTTAACTTAGTTTTGTTATTTTAGGTTCAATTTGTTAAGTTATGTCATTTATGGATTAAAAAGTTATTATATATATATATATATATATATATATACGCATGTATTGCTTATTGTTGTCATCATTCTGAACCCATTATTAAACAGTTATGATCATTGTGTTGGATACATATATTGTTTGTGTTATTTTCAGTATTTTGGGATATGTTTTAATTATAGAGAGGTTAAGCCGAAATTTTGGTAGGATTTGTTATTAGTTTTGGGTGAACATTAATTTTCATTTCTTTGCAGCCAAGAAAAACACTTGGGGACCTTGTCGGCAATTGAAGACGGCAAAGGTCACTTGGGTGACCAACGGTCGTATCATAATTGGATCGGGTAGCACCAACAGCGAAGCAGCATAGTGCATTGGTCCACGACATTGGGCACGTCGTGCAGACCTATTGCCCTATACGGTGGAAATCTTGGAAGGCGATGCCAAAAGAGGTGAAGAACATGGTGCACAATCATTTGTTGGTAAGTATCGTCGCCTTTTTAATGCTTTTCATGTAAAATATCGTCGCCTATTTATTAACGTCTTTTATTACTAATAATTTCATAATATTTGTTACATTGCAGACAAACTACAATTTCGATGACATCTACGAGGACATGTTGGTGTACCTCAATCGGCTCTTCTCCGAACGCTACAAGCAGTGGAAGAGTAACCTGCACCAGTATTTCGAGATGTTTGATGATCTGCAGGTCGCTCTCGAGGAGGGTTGCCTGAACGAGTTCGAGGACTGACAAGATAGTTGGGTTTGGCTCTGCAGTCAATTTCAGAAGCTAGGCTATGTGGTGCACTTTTAATTAGGACTTCTTTCATTTTACTTTTTAAAATTTTTACTAATGTTAATTATGAATTTTTTTTATTTTCTTTAAATATTACAACTAATACGTTTATTTTGTGTATAACAGAAAAAGGCGAAAGCCAACAAAATCAATTGAGAGAAAAAGACTCTTCTCCACCTTTCGGGTTCGAGACCTTTCTCATATAGGATGGAGGCGCGGCAGAAGGTATATATTACAGCTTTCATTTCCAATTTTAAAATGTCGCTAATAAATTATTATTATTATTATTATTATTTTGTTTTCGTATTAACATTTTCCTTATCTTTTTCTATTTCAGGAGGGTTCAAAATTCCCGGAGATCAACATCTTTGCTGACGTTTATGTTTGGCCCGAGGATGAGTTAACCGAGTCCCTTCATGTAAGTAATTTCTTATGCATTAAAGATATATACTAATTATTTCAAATTGTTTGCTATTAATATTCCATGTTTTATTTCACAGGCGACTATGGTGGAGAAGGGTCAGTCGGTTCTTTAGGAGTTCGCCTCACAGCTTCCCTCGGACACACCGATCAAGTATGTGGATCCCCCTGAGGATGCAGGGTTTGACATCCTTATATGGACATTGGATCAAACTTTCGGTTGGAGGCTAGGGACATATTGTTGGGGGATGGATAATGCTAGGTGGCAGGAGAGTGAAGCCTCTTCATCCTCGCACTCGAAGGGTGAGGTTACGACTTTGACGCAAGAAGTTGCTGACCTGAGGAGTGAGCTAGCATCGTACAAGACTTAGATGTCATTGATTGTACAAGCCCTCAGTTCCTTCAGGATCCGTCTTCCCGATTTTTTTGCACCACCACCATCAGAGCCCCTCCACCCCTAGCATGCACAACAATCAGACCCATCGATCTTCGACCCCATCCCTAACCCCACCCCCTTCTAGCAGCAAGATTACCAAGCACCTTCGAACGACTTGCCCATAGATTATACCTCATTTTTTTTCCTGCTTTCTTTTTAAACTTTGTATTTGTACGTACATTTTTATTTATATTATAATAAATTGTTTTTCTATTCATTAAATTTTTATTATTATTTTTTTTTTTTGTCAATTGTATGAAATATTTTTTTAATAATATTCCGTTTAGTTTATTTATTAATTTTTTTACTAAAAATTACACTTGTGCAATAAAGATATGTTGTCGTGCAAAACCATGCGTGTCTTACATGTTTCGTCACGCAAACATTTTTGAGACGAATTATAGACGTCCCAGAAATTCCTTGTCGCAAAGCACACTTGTACCCTATTATATTGTGCAACAAAAACCTTTGTCCGTATACCTTTCTGCGACGAGTAGTTAAGTGTCGTGCAATCGTTTAGCTGCGCGATGAATGTGCACTCTTCGTCGCACAAGGTCTTTCTTCACGACCTTTGTGCGTCAAACTCTGCGCGGAGATTTCTGCGTCGCCATAGGTTTTGTGAGACCTGGACAGGCTTTGCGCGACAAATACTCCCTCGTCGTGCAAAGTGTTTAATTTAGTGGTGTGAGGTTCCACCATAAAACTAATTGATAATATGGGAGTACCCAACTTACTTATAAGCTTGCAAGGTTTCTCCTTTTGTTGACGTGAGACTCTTAACCTTCGTATCCTCACATACTTCCTCACGTGTGACAGATTATTAAGTCAAACATATGGACAATACAAATTGGGTGATATGGAGCATGTGTGGCCAATGGAGTTACATGTGGGCCAACATGCTGTAATACTATGAAGAAAGTTGAGGTTCCATCATAAAAACTCATATCCACACAATACAACTCATATAAAACTGATAGGCTATATATGGACAAAACCAATTGACCATTACAAAGTTTCTCCTTTCACCAATTTGAGACTTTTTAATGTTCTTTTCCTCACACTAAACATAACACAACTCGTGCCGATGGCCAAACTGGCATAAAATGAAGTAGATAATTCCAAGATTTTGAAGAAAGGAGAATCATAAAAATTTTATACGCTGGCCGGTAATTCCAAGACTTGAAACATATGATCGTACAAGCTTGTAAAATCATGAAGGCGAGCATTTTGGTTTCACACCCAATGATCACCAACATGCGTGTGGACGACTATGGACAATTAATTAGTGAATCAAACAATTAATGCTTACTTCACATCAATCAACGATTGTTAATTAGATGCTAGAGTTTTTCACCTTGATGATCATATAGTTGGTTAACAATATTGAACATTACAAAGAACCTTTTTGAGCAATCCATCAATATCAAATCAAATCGAGTAACTATATATCATGCAGTTTCTCACCTCTTACAGCTCATACAAAACTCCTACGTACCTACGTACTCTCCACCACCAAAATTGTCAACCATATGAGCCATTTTCTATCAGAGAAGCACGGGATGTATGAGAAAGTGTCGCTTTGCTTTATAACCTCAGTTTCTATACCAGTCACTATTGAACCCGTGACTTTGCCTAAAATATCGGCCAATAACCCTACTATGGGCCTCACTATATATATAGACTAAACAATGATAGTAACAGCACTGACTTGGTGGTCATTCACATGCTTGGGACTCATTTGCTACCCAATTGGATTGCTTGAGAGATTATTTAATCTTGTGTTCATTTCATGGCTAAAGTTTGCTGTTCAATCGAGACGGAGCCTAGAACCTTGAGTGAAGGGCAACTCAACCATGCTAGGGTTTGTAATTTTTAAAAACTTCACAATTACGGTTTTTTGTTTACTTTGATTAAATGATGATATTGGGGCAGGGGAAAGTCGAACTCAATTGGGAGCTTGGGTGCAAGAGAGAATGTTTTTAACTAACTCAACTATAAACTCCGTGCATCACATTACATTCATGTTGAGCTTCTTGTTTTTAATTTGGATTTTTTGTTATCTTCTAAATGTTTCTCATCATATATTTGCAGGAAATGGCTGCTGATGTCGTTGAGAAAATGGAACCAACTGAAGCCTCAGCTATATTCATTGAAGTATGATTTCATACTATGCATTTGAATTAATTCATATATATTACAATTACATGCTTCTAAATTACATTTTTTTATACATATGTATATAGGGACTGAGACCAGTAATTGGTTCAGTGAAGGAGATGAAGCATATGACTGACAAAGAGGGTGAGCAACTACAATTGCAGACTAAGCTTGTGGAGTGGAAGGAGGAGGCTCAAATTTTAGAAGGGCCTTGCCAATGCTTGTGTTCTACTGCCATTGTTGAAACCCCCGATCAAGAAACGCGGCTTACAGAACCCGTGTCGGCCCCATTTTGATAGTTTTCGTTGTTCAAAATTTATAATTTAACATATTGTGTTATCAGATAATCGATTGTGTGATTAGAGAATATTATATATATATGTGAAATAACATATACAAGCTTTTGTACCAATTTTAAATGTAAGATTAATTAACAACGGTTCAAAATCACATTTTAACAGTTATTGTAGTGTTGATATTTCCAAAGAATGCAGATGTAATTATTGGGTCTCCATAGTAACTTATGTTTTCTGTTTTAATTAGGAGATGTTGGGGGCTTTGTGTAGACTTGTAGCAGGTGCAAACAAAGAGTAGTGCTACACTTATCGTATATTTGTACTATCTCTTTAATAAAGGTAGAGTGCATCAACACATATTGATTTTATCTCTATTAGAGAGGTAATACAAATGCTGGTATAAATAGATGGTAAAAATAACATTTTGACAAACAAATGTCGTGTTTATACAATATCATTCATATTTGGGCGTTCGTCACTCATCGAGAAATAGGATACATAGAAATGATCATTAAATTGTAGAACATAAGCTGAGTTCCATGAGCAATTCAGAATCCACCAAATATAGACCAAACTGTAGAATTTAATTGATAGTATTCCTAAAGTTGTTAGTCTAAAGCAAACTCTAACTCCAAAAGACAACTAAAATAGAGAATCATAAATTATAGAGACTTCCTAAAATATTAAATCCGAAATAAATGTCTCTAGCGGAATAGTTTCAAGACCTATAATTCAAAAACTTAGGTGCAAGTTTATGAAAGCAAGTCTTGAGACTAAACACCTAGAGATTTATAAAACTGATCATTCTATTTTTTGCTTGTCGAGCTACTTGAAAAGTCCATAACATCAACTTTCGAAATATAATAGCATCAAATAATCTTCTAATTCTTGAGTTTTCAATCTCCAATCACTTTTTCTTCATTAAATGTCGCGTTTTCCTTTAACTCTAATGTATTTAAAATAACTGAATTTTCTGAGCTACATCATTGCGTGACAGTGTGAGAAAGATTAGAAAGAGGCTTTAATGTCCATTTTCAATACAATATGTAGGAATTTAGTACAGTGACAGAGCCAATATTTAAAGTGGGTTTGGTTGAACTAACATACTGAATTTGGTACCCGTGAAGGAATGTTGATAAATGTCATTTAAATGACAGTGTGTCATATGTCTTGAGCGTTATTTTTGGCTTACATGTTGCATTAAATGTTAATTAGGATTCAAAATTCATTTTAAAAATAACAAATATGAGCATCTCCAAACCACTTAGTACTATGGTATAATAATATTCATCTTCACTTGTAAGTGAGAGGTTTTATGTTCGATTCTCGACAAAGTCGAATTTGAACCACATTATTGCTAGTTCATTGTGAGGCTAAGCCCACCCCCTCCCTTTTAGTGTAGATAATATTATTTGTTCCAAAAAAAAAAAAACGAGTATATCCAAAGAAGATGTCAAATCCTAAGTGGAATTTCACATAATAAAATTTGAAGGTACACACAAGTTACAACTAATTGTGTGCTGCCAATTGACTATGAGAAAATCTGATGTCAAATTATTTTTTAAATGTTTTGTTGTGTGAGCCCTAGTAATATGCACCAATCATTAATCTTGAAAGTTAGTTTTGATTATTTGTTTTGAAGAGTAAGTCCTACAAATATTAATTGAATAAGAACAAACATATGATTGGAGCAAAAGAAAATTTAACATTGCCACATAAGTCTTTAAATTTATTTTTGACATCTACATTGGAGATGCTTTACGATTACAAGAATTCAAACGTTCTCAAAACTGAATTGAACTATAATAAATTGGTTTGGTAAACCTTTTAGGCTTCTATAAATTGATCTAAATCAAGTTGGACCTATCACTTGCATAAGAATGTTTTTTTTTTTTTTTTTTAACAAACGATATTATTTGCACTAAAAGGGAGGGGTAGGCTTAGCCTCACAATAGATTAACAATAATGTGGTTCAAATTCTCCTTTGACGATAATCGAGCCTAAGACCTCTTATAAGAATGTTAAATTTGAAGGTTGATGGAAGGTTGAAGATTTTTGAGTTGTAAGTTTGATGGTATATAGGATTCTAGGATGATTTGATGTTGTAGAAGAAAATTTTTAAAATTTAAAAGCAAAAATAATTGGGTTTAAGCCCAAACTACCCGAACCAAACCCTACCAAATCGTCCAACATTGATTTGACATAGTTATTTTTTTATAATAATTTTATCAAAATCGAAACAAATCAAACTATTAGACTGTAGTAATTGGTCGATTGTACTGGTATTTAAAGTCTTTCCTCCTTAACCCATTGTATCCCGGTTCAAATTTTACTCCTGCCTTTATTGTACATTAGTGTTGAAGATCGAATATTTTGAAAATAGTTAAGTACCTAAAACCCCTAACCTTTTGGTATGATTCCAAATTAGTTTCAATCTTTTCAAACATTCCAAAAGCGTATCCAACATATAGGAAATATCAATTCTGTTAAATCCCAAGTTAAGAGAACTGTTAAGTGCTTATGTGGCATTCTTGGTCATATTTTTTTTATTGAAAAATATCATAATTTCCAAACCTTAGTGAATTTCTTCCTATTAATAGGCGATGGAAATCAAAAGCCTCAAAATATTTCTTCAAAACCCTAACTTTCTCCTTCTTCTGAAACGACAGAGTTAAGATTGCAGACTAGCTTAAAAAACCAATCGCGGTGCCATGGCTTAGAGATTACGTATCGAAGGGAGGATGCGGCCATGTCACAATTGTTGGAATTTATGGTTAGCCACATGCATAGATTACAACATTTATACAGGGGACGAAGGAGCACACAAATCTGATGAAGCCATTACTGAATGATCGAGGAAGAGTCTTCTACTCAGTGGGGACCTTATGTTCTCACTAGAATAGGGCTAATTACTAAAAGAACTTGTTCCTCTTGAGCAGGGACTAAACCATTTTATAGACGTATAACCACAACCGTTTCCACCTATCATAGAAACTGCTTGGCAAAACAGCACGCCAATTTACACTCCAACATGGGATATCCACTCACCAACATGTTTAACCTTATTGTCCTACTTTAAAGGAAAGAAGACTTATTCAAATATTAACTCTAACTAATTCCAGTTTCAACTAAACTCAAAACCCTAATTAGATAAGTTTAGAGTCCAATAGGGTTCCAACATTCTCCCACTTGGACCTAAACTGATCATCCTTGTTTCGAGCCATGTTTCCACCAAAACCAATTCCTTAGTGATCACGTGAGTGATTCGAGACATAGAACTTCAGAAAAGACATGCACTATCATAGCATAGCCACTCTGAAATCACCATATCACAAATTCATTCACCTATGATGCATAAACACGTTGGCCAGAAGGGAGTTTTACTTTATACTCCCACTGGATAAACCATTACCTTATCGTTGCTTAGTTTTAACAAAGCATCTTCAGCTATCTTTCACGCTGAAATAGTTAAAACCAACTGAAGTTTCAAATAAGCAAACATTGCTACAAGGGATAGTAAAATGTATAGAAACCCCAACAGCTAAACAATTGCTTATTACTAACAATTCATGTCAAAACCAATACATAGAACTAAATCAGCAAGTTTTCTCACATTTATTTGCAGAAATAGCTACAAAGTAAACAAAATTAAATTATACGTTTACTGTCGCATAGCTGTTGAATCGAATAATTCTTGCACTCCCATCCTTGCAACATGCTCTTTAAACACATAGACTTTGGTCATTTATCAAACTCCAATGAGTTTGCCTAAATACTTCCAGTGAAGCATCAATATTGCCATATGCAACTATCAATTTAATTGAAAGTCTTAAAGAGAAACAACGTAGTGCGAACAACGCTCCCACTAATTCAGCATATCAACAATGTAATGTCTAAAAGACTTTCTCATAGTAGTAGAATTAGATAATTATTTTAAATGGTTAGCCACAAGGATTCTTTATTGCGCGCATCCTTTAAACAAGCCAAAAGAAATCCTTATGACATAAGCTTACATTATAAGTTAATATGCAAGATATAAGGCTAAACAATATAGAATTATCTCCACATTAATCTACAACATCATAACTTGATTGTAGAACAAAAGCATATTATCATACGGAAAGTAATCAAACAGTAAGAGCTAATGAAACCAGTAGAGATATAGGTATTAATTTTAGGTCTTATTAATATCATACTCATTATAAAAGATCAACATGCAACCATCCAAGGCAACCATATGCAAGAGACGAAAGATTGACAATGTACACATAGATCATATGCGTTTAACATATAAATAAATAAAAATAATAATAAAGCCATTTGATAATCATTAGATGAGTCATTCATCAAACTTTATTCAAGACATGCAATCTGCTCGGAAACTCTGTGCATTTGCCAAGAATATATATTCATAACAAATTCAATTTCATATCAATTTAATTTGGTGCCCATAGGAAAAAACCAGAAAGTCTAATTTTATCATCTAATATTACAAGACAACGTCCAAATAGACATCATGATTCAAAATTGAAGAGACTTAAAAGCTTAAAACTCAAACAATGTGTACCTAAGTAATCTTTGGTTAACCTTCATGGGTCCAATACATTTACATCGACAAATTTCATGAGGAGACAAAACGTATATCATGATGCAACCAATTTCCATGCCACAAAACTACAAACTATAATGCGACTCATAGTGAAAATATTTGTAACTGAAAACACATAACTTTATTCCTGGTTCATACATTACATGAGTTACCTTTATGAAAAAATTTCAACACCTTTGGGCAAGATGAAGCTTTTAAAAACTCTTATGAAATAGAACCCATACTGTGCCATCTTAATTGAACCAAAAATAACGATCTACACCTTTGGGCAAGAAGATCATCCCTTTGTTATAATTAAAATGTAAGTTTGATCAAAGAACTTTGACATCACCGGTCCTGATATCAACTAAAACCATTGCACTATGCTTAGTTGATGCAAGTGTGTGTGATAACTTCGATCAAATTCAACCTGAAATTAAATAAATAAATAAATAAGCACATAGAGTGAATGGCAGGTATACGTGATTTAGGTGCAGAAAGCAATGATATGTTCCATTATTTTGTATTCCAAGTTCACCAAATTAGGCATTTGATCAGACATGCTTTCCGATGCTTCAAAGCCAGCACTTCGCATGCTGCAAAGGCCAAGCAAGTAGCATAGCGTAGACTATAGAATA